AAAAAAAAATTGCTCGACGTAAAAATTTTAGAATGTAAGTTTTAAATGAATGTAGAAAACGGAATAGACAAACGATCGATATAATATAATCTTACAAATATTTACATGTAATTGTATCATGATTAGCTTGTAAAACTCTGTGTTACTAATGTAATACTAATCAATAAAGCATTGCGATAAAGCATTGGTTATAAAATAGATATGACATTATATGACATTTTATGTCATATTCTGAAATACTGATCAGTGTTCTTTACGCCCTCTATGATGGATGATGAATACTACTACGTTCAATTCAACGAATAATTCTCGGAACACTGGCAACACTGTCCATATTTTTTGATTTTCGCGGTGAAAAACTTGCCCGAATCGGTACGACAGAATGTGACACAAAATTGGTAATAATACGGATCAATTCTTTCCTGTTCAATTTTGTAATGATGAAATACATTGTATTTCTGTATTTTTGTTGATAAAATATTTTTTTAATTATTAATTTCAAAAACTGGTCATATATTTGTTAGAACTTTTATCATGTAAAAATTGATACATCACAAAACTGTCTATTTTATTGTCAGTAAAATTATTAATTCCGGAAATAATTTCATTCTGATAATTGTACTTGTAATGAAACATGCTTTCTGAACTTAGTTTATGAGAAACTAAATATTATAACGGTGAAACTGACTTTTTTAAATGTTTTAATATTTATTTGTTAAATACATAACTAAAATACTAAAAATTAACACAAAAATCGTTATCTGATTAAATTGGTTTTGAATTTGAATTTTATTATAAATTAATAGTTATAATAATAGTTAAAAAGTGATAGAATATATAAAGATATAATAAATATAAATAATTTACTATTACTTAATATTATCTTATACAAATAAAATCTTTACAGATAAATTTCAACATTAATATTTTATATTAATAAATTAAATTACATTCTTATTTATTAATTACTTTAGACTGAATGTCTTTATATTTTTCTATAAACTCTTCAATGATTTTATTAAGTTTTCGGTTTTGCCAATCGAGAGAAATATCATCGAGATGATTATCAAAATCAACAAGATTCCTGTATTTTTCTGCTTTTAGTAAAGCATATAATACAACTGTATGAGTTGCTTCTTTATCATATAATATACTGCAAAAATCAAAACAATATATCAATATAAACGATAAAGACATTAAAATTTATTAAAAATATATATTAATTCATAATTAATACTCTGATATATCTTTAAGTTTCCATTTGCCATCCACAAATTGTGAAACTCTTAAGGGAATTGAGCTCATACTGAATGTAATTTCCTTATTGTCCACCTAACAATATGAAAAAAAATTTCTAATAAATTTTTAGTTTAGCGGCTTTTGCCAATTTTGATTACTTCGCTATAAATTTTTTTTGTAGAAGCTTCAGTCCGTTTTTAAAATGAGAAATTTATCAGGGGAAGTCGAAAAAGTTATGCAGTTCTTGTAAGAAGTTCTTTAAAGACGTTAAAATTTATTAAAAACATCAGAAACTTTCTTTTTTCATGTCACGAAGGTAATAAATATTTTAAATGTCATTATATTCATGATAATCAGATGAAATGGAATCAACAACATAATTCATAAATCATATAAATTATTATAAATTTTTATTTTTTTGTTTATTGTTTCACATAAACATTTAATACTGATCACACATTAAACACAGCTGTGCTTGTTGTTGTGAATGTTAATTTATGTCTATAACTTTATATTAAAGCAGTGAAATAGCCAAAATTGGAAAAAGTCGCTAAATTGAAAATTTATCAAAGAAAGATAGTAAGATAATTTTTGATGAATTTAATTTTATAAAATACTTACCACAACCAGTAAACTATTGCCATAATTCTCTGCTATTTTATCCGCTATTTTGTGAGCAGGCTTATCTGTACTATATTGAAATTTTTGTAGTTAAATTATTATAAGAAAAGCAAATAAAAATTAAATTACCTCAAGTCATTTATATTTTCGTTTGCTAGGTAATAACCCGCTAACACCAAACCTTTACTAATGGCATATTGATCAACCTGAAAATTTTTTACTATTTATATGATAAATAAATTCAAACAATTAAATAATTTTACAACAATTACAATTTCAAATAACAGATTAAAATGTATATATATTAATACTTTTGAAATGCTATACATATATATATATATATACAGAAAATTTTGGTATTTTTAATTTACAAGTAAAATTTATTAAATATATTGTATTTAATATATTTAATATAATTGTATGCGGTATATAAATATAATTGTATGCGGTATTTAAATATTTACCATGGTCAAAGCAATTTCCGCCATAGGCGAAACATGAAGACAGATATGAAACAATGGAACTACATCCTCGATACGTAATTGGGCAGATTTGTTGTCACGTTTATTATTCTGTTTAGCTAATAACAATCCATTTATCGCGCAATGAGGATATTTAGCAGCATGTAAAATAATCTTACAATACGCACGACTGGAGAACGAGATATCCGCCATTTTTCTTCAACAATAAAATCGATGAATTCGATATGAAACCCAATTTACTATTGGATCGTAGGAATCTCGAGAGAATCTCGAAAGCGGAAAAATGAATGGAACGGAAATTTTAAAACTGGAAATGAATTTTTCCGAGTGATCATTCTTTTTTATATTTCAGATAATAAACATCTCAAATTATTTACATTTATTAAAAAGATAACTTGTCTTTATTAAAAAGATTTCTTAAAAAGATAAGTTACTTTTAATTTTTTACATATTTTGTAAACTTTCGTAGGAACCAACTTATATATAAATAATTCCCTAGTATTAGTAAGTTTACGCAACACTGTTTAAATTTATGAACATAGGAAAATACTTTTCGAAGTTGTACCGTGCATTTCCTTTTATTTATTTTTTGAATCAATGTACAATGGAAAATATTGAAAAAATTATCGATCTTTTGCATAAAAGGAAAGTTATACGTAATGAACAATTCGTAAACGAAGAAAAAAAGCAAATTACAGAATACAATAGTTTAATGCATATATTACAAAATATAAAAGGTTCCTATTTCTGTATCAAATAAAAAAATTATTTTTAATAACTTTAGAATTAAAATTTAATATCAAAATTTTCGTTATAGACGAGCGTAATAATTATAAAGAGAACATTATTAAAAATCTTCAATGTTTAACGAAACACAAACATTCAGTTAACCAACTCGTTCACAATTCAGAAAATATTCCAAGATTACCGATTTCTCAAGATTATCATCGGTATTATCATCTTTTTCTTAAATTACTTATTAAATTGAATATCTTATTTTAAATATTTTTAGTCAAGCAACAATGTTTTTATCGGAAGGTATTGATTTTATAAATAAATTACCAAATATATATACAAATTTTGATGCTACCAAAGAGAATAATATTAATTCTGCAAATCTTCTTCATAATATTGTAGGTTTATTTTATATTCATTATAAAGAAAAAACAAAGATTCAAAGTTATAACATTTCGTGTATATTCTTTTTCAGACATATTGTACGAATAGCGTAGAAAGTAAACTTTGTAATATAAAATCTCTGATCACAAATGTGAACACATTGCAGAAAAATGCAGATATATTACAAGAATATTGTTTAGTTAATAACGGTAAGTTTGATTGTGTAATAAAAAATATTTTTTGATACTCGTTTCTTTTACTTTTCAATCAATGAAAAATTATTCATTAGTTATCTCTCTTAATTACAAATACTTAAATTATAATTAATTTATCGTATAAATCATTTAAGAAAAAGATCTTTAAATTTTTTAAATATCTTAATTTTTTAACTACTGTAATTATTTATTTTTAGATGAGAATGTGGAAATCTGAACAAATACTGTTTTACATTTTAATCATATTATAAAATATTAATTTTACGTGTATTTGTTGATAGAGTTATACTCATTATTCATATTCAATTTCAACATAATTAAATTTGGATCCATGACAGTCTGCAACAAATAAATTCTCTTAAAAAATAAAATAATTTGAAAGAACTAAACTTTCTTACCATCAATTCTGTAGTGATTTCAGAATTTGATTGCATTTCAGAGAAGGATATTATTTCATTATGTGAAACATTTAGATCTCTTTCGGGTGTTTCAATTTCATAAGTAGATGAAACTCTTTTAATTTTATCTCTGTAAAATAAATATATAAATATACATATAAATATATATATAAATGTACTTACTTTGTAGTATTGTATCTTTCAGTTGCAATCTTTTTTTCCCTTTCCATTAATGCTTGAATTTGTATTTGTAACTGATTAAATTTTTCTTTATTTTGATTTTCCAAATGTTTTGCATTTTTTAAAACTTTTATTCCTTCTTCCTTTTTAATTAGAACTGACTATAAAATATTAATTTTTGTTTTTAAACAATAAAGAATTAAAACATTGTTTTTGGATATTACCTGTGTAAGATATTCAAGTTCTTTGGCACGTAAAATAAGTAAATTTTCCTTATCTTGTAGAATTTGCTTGTAAATATTAAACTCGTTAATCTTTTCTTGCCATTTTAATTTTTCTTGATTAGCAGATACGTTTGCATCCTGTGCAGTTTTAATAGCAGTTTCCAACTACAATTGTAATTCATCATTTTTGATATAAAAAGCCATTCATTAATAACCAATTGAACAACATTAATAACATTCTAATTTGTGTATATGATGTTTTATAATTGTTTGTACCTCTACTTTAACAACTTCATTATTATTACTTTTTAATTTATTTAAAACTTCTAATTCTGCTTTTTCACTTGCTATTATTTCTTTTTCCTCTGCAAGTAATTTTAGTTGTTTCTCTTGTTCTTTTATCCAAGATTCTTTTAATGCCTAAAAGAATATAAATACATACTATTTGATTTCTTTAGATATAATTTTTAAATACAGCATTAATGACCTTTTTTTTATTTATACCTGCATATAATCTTGTTCCCATTTCATTTTTTCTTGAAATAATTCTTTTTCTCGTAAGAAATTTGCTACTTCCTTATCATGCGTTTCTTTTGCTTGGTAGTACAGTGCACTTTGTTTTTGAAGTTCAGTTATAAGTTGTGTAAGATGAGTGTCAAATTTCTCTGTTGTTTGTATAAATTTATCACGATGTTCTTCCAAGACATTGTTGTGATACTTTAATTCAAGTTTTTGTGCTATAAATTATAAATAAAAAAGTTAAAAATCTTTTACAACTTGTAGTTGCAAATTAAAACTAAATAAAATAAATAGAAATATGTAAAATAATTTGAAACACTGTTACAGTAAATTCTTGCAATGTTGCAATATATCATTATTATATTACAATATAGTAGTATATTAAAACGAAAAATGTATATTGCAAAATTTGAAATATACCTTTTACATCATCTTCTTGCAATTTTAAAATATTTGCTTGAGATTTCTTTATTTCATCACATTTAATTTCCAATCTATTTTTGTTTTCCACCATTCCTTCAATAATAACACTAGCTTTTTCTAATATATCCTCTATATCCGTTTTTCGAGTGGTCATAATTTCAGTCATTTGATCTTCTATTTGCTTGGCTTTAGATATACTTTCTATTATATTATAATATTCTTTTTGCAAAAGTGAGAGATTTTCAGAATGTAATTTACAAAGTTCTTCTATGTGTTGAGCATGTTTGTCCTAAAAGTATGTATTTAGAAATATTAAGTTGTAAAGTTTGTATTAATAATTTCTAATAATTATTTATTATACAATAATTATTAATTATACAATATTTATAAAGAAATAAATATAAATAAATATTAAAAGTTTATTACTTAAAATAATAAATATTAAAATAAATAATAATAATAGTGATTAAAGATTATTAATATATATTATATATTATACAATATAATAAATAACATATATCAAGATTATATGTAACCTTTAGATTATGAATTTCTTCTTTGTATTGGTTTTCTATTTGTAACTTGTCATTTCTTAAGTTTTCAAATTTTGTCATGTAATCTACTTCTAAACGTTCTATTTCTTGTTTAACTCTTTCTTCTGATTTTGTTATTACTTCTCTCAAAAATGAGATTTGCTTCCTAGAAATCAAATCATTTTATTTTACTTTATCTATTAAGAGTTTGATATAATACATAATTTAATAAACATACTCATAAAATTCTGCTTGAAATGTTATTTCATTATCATGTTTTTCGTTTACAGTGGATAACTTATATTCTAATTTTGATTTTTCTCCCTGTAGTTTTTTTATTACATCTTTCATTTCTTTTATTTCATTTACAAATTTGTTTTCTTCTTCACTTACGTCTGAGTTGCAATTTGTATAAATTGATGTAATACTTGATATTGGCCTTAATTGTGTTGTTAAAACCTTAAGAAAAAAAGAATAGAGGTTCAAATTTCACACATTTTTATATTAATAATTCAATATTATATTCAAAAAGTCTCACATGAATATATTGGTTAATGCGTTCTTGCTGCAGTTTTATTTGTTTTTCTAGTAAAGTCTGTTTTTCTAACTGTAATTTTAAAAGAGCATTAAATTGTTCCTCTTGACTATGCAGTATAGAATGTTGAGTATTTGATATTTTATTTAGTTGTTCATTTTGTTGGGAAAGCATTGTTGCTGTTTTTAATTCACTTTCTTGTTGTTTTATATTTACGAGTGAATTTTGTTCATTTAATGTCAGTTGTGTATTAAACAACAGTGTATCTTCTAATTCGTTTCCACTAGTTTTTTTTAAATCTACTATACTATTCGTGTTGTGAACTTTAATATTTTGTTTCGAAGTAACTACTTTATCCGTTTTAGCCATTCCTATTTTTGTTTCTGATTTTTCATCTCCTAATCTTTTTGAATCACTTAACCACTCTGGTAAATCATTTTCTGTTTTATGCACAATGGAATTTTTAGTTGGAATATTTTCATTTGATACCTTGAAAATCAAAAATATATTTAATATCAAATGCTATCAATATTGAATAATATTTCTAATGATTTTAATTCTTTTCTCTGAATATTTACATATATTGTTTAAAATATATTCTTCATACTTCATATATCTACATATATATCTTATTTAATTATATGTTGTCTTACATATTATGGATAATAAGATATAATTACCAATTCTAAATTTTGATCCGATAATAAACCAAGAGGATCATTTATGATTTTTGTATTTCTCCTACCTCTACGAAATTCTTTTGTAGCAGATTTAGTTAATAGATCAGTAGTATTCAATTTTGATTCTTGTGTATTATTTACAGATTGTGCCATAGTTTGTGATTCTGTTTTTTTAATATTTTTAGAAATTATGGAGTCCATAACATTTGATAAATGTGGCTGATTTTCAAATAAATGCTCTTTTAAAGATGCTCTTTCTGCTTTATCTATTGCATCAGAGTTATTGATTAAACTTACTAAATTACTCTTTTCATTTTGAGGTATACTTTTTAAGTTTTGTGTATTTTTCTGTTTGGATAATTCAGTCTGAGAAATAAGATTATTCTCAGAAGTTGAGTAACCATTTAGTTTCTGAGAAGATAATTGATTAGATTCTCCTTGCTCAAACTGAAATTCCAGCTCATTATTTGATTTAATACTTGCAGATGTAACTGGATTTTTGATTTTGAAAAGATCTTCCATTAAACTACTTTTGCTACTAGATGTAAATAGATTTTTCTTTTCTTTTACAGAGATTTCTTCATCGGATAACAAATCAACTAATAAATCATCCTCATTAGAATCTATATATCAATAAAATTTTTAAATAATTATTTGTGAAAAGAATTTAAAGAAAAATAATTATTTTTATACCTAATTAAAATAATTATTTCTATACAAAAATAAAATATTAATTTATGCAAAATTGAAAAATTTCATTCCTTCTTTAAATAAATTACAAAAATATTGTATAATCTAGAAAAGCATTTTAAATCTTTATGAGATAAGTAAATATAAATCACCAGTTTATGTTGCGTTTTTTACTTTAAATATATATATATATAAAGCACCTTTAAATAGAACTTTTTTTTTAATTTCTCCATCAGATTGAATATTAGAATCTTTAAAAATGCTTGTAGAATTTGATTTCTTAAATGTATTATTAAATAATTTTATATCTAAACTATCCATATCTTCTAACGCTTTTGTAATATCTTCTAAATTTGCATTTGAAATTTCAGAGTGATCAACCATCTGTGTGAAATTTGATAAAAATTAAATAAGTAATTACATTATACAAGAAATGGTTCTATAATACATTTTCTATTTTCTACTCATTTCGTTTCACTACAACTAGTAATAGTAACACCTTCAGAAAAATATTAATTAGTTCTTTAATCTTCTTAGTCTTTTTTCATTTATCTGTAAATCACTGATTTAGTTATTAATTAAATGTAATTAATTTAATATTTAATTAATAGTCACACTAATTGTATGGACTATTAGCTTTATTCATGCTTGAAACTATGTTACTTAAATTGATTTGCATTCAAGTGAATGGTTTCTATGGCGATGTACGTGCATACATACATATATACATAGTAAAGAATAATGAAAAATAAATATGTTCTAATATTTATTATATTTTATCATTTGAGAAATTTACAACGTTTTTAATAATATACGATATTTGTTGTATATTTACGGAGAATTGTTTATGAACTACCTACTGTCAGATTTCTATACGCATGCTCATTTCGACGTATCAAAAAGTGGGGAAATGGCAAAAGATAGTAGGGGAACTTAATGAAAGTGGAGTTTTTTGGTACCGCATACATATCCTATATTCACTCTAATCAATAATACGTTAGAAACTGTTGATATACGAATGTTAGTATTAAGCAATTGCCCTCTCTGATCTTTCACGTTTTTAGTAAATTTGAATTTCTTGTTGCACGAGATAGCGATGCAGAGTGTCATTAATTCTGTAAAAGGTACTGCGCTTGGTGTTGCCGAATACTTAACCCCTGTGTTAAAGGTATGCTATATAAATACATTTTCAACATAAATATTCTCTTATAAAACTTTCACAAAAATAATAAAAGTATATTGCATAAATCATATACAATTTTATCTAATGAACATTCCCATTATACACTATTTAATTATCTGTTTATGTTATGTTGCTATATGTTGCTATACAATACACTGTAATAAATGTATTACATGCTGAAACATATATATATATAAGATTATTATTTTCATCATAAAAATAATATTTATTTATGATGTTGTTATTATAATAATAACTTTCTATGTAATGGAAGAAACAGCAGATTAAAATAAAATGGATTTTTAAAAACATCTTTGTTGTACACAGACCTTTATAATATTCTTAGAGCACCTCTATATATAATTTATAATATTATATTATTGTGTTCTTATTTTTTTCATTATTATTGCAAATATTTGCATCCAATTCCTTTTCTCCTTAATGATAATTTCAATTCATTATCAAATATTTTATTTTTTATAATAATCTTTTGCTTTCTTTTTAATTATATTTTTTTCACATTTTTTCTTCATTTCTGTTAAAATGTATTATATATGCAAATGAAATATAGTTTTTAATTATGTTTGTAATTATTGTAATTTTTAACTTGTAATTATTAAAGGAAAGTAAATTTCGCGAAACTGGAGTATTAACACCGGAGGAGTTTGTAGCAGCTGGTGATCATTTGGTACATCACTGTCCAACATGGCAATGGGCTACTGGTGATGAAGATAGAATAAAATCTTATCTTCCTAAAACAAAACAGTTTTTGCTAACACGTAATGTTCCTTGTACTCGCAGATGTAAACAGGTATCATTATTTTCAAATAAATATTATGTAATTATATATATTCTTTTATTCCAAAAATACATATAAGCAAACAAATTATTAATTTCTTCAAGATAATTTTTTTTTGGAATCAATAATTTTATACTTAAGTATTATCTATTTTAAATATGTATTATTAAAAATTTAATTTTAGTAATACATATTTAAAATTTTCACTGGTTGAAATGTAACTAATATGTAGAAGGAAAAAATTTCTGTTAATGTTATATGATATAATATTAATGTAATATAATTATCTGACATATCTAAATCATATTTTAGATTGAATACAGCAAAGAACAAGAATGTATTATAGAAGAAGATGATCCAGAAGGTGGTTGGGTCGATACACATCATTATGATTCAAGTCTTGGCGGAATTGAAGAAAGAGTAACTGAAATGACATTAGATGAACCACAACTTTCCCAATCAATTGGTGCGGAGGAAAATACTGACAATATTGATGGTGATGATGGTGATGATGATGATGACGACGATGATGAAGATGCTGCAGATATGGAAGCTTTTGAAGTCAGTGGAATGTTAGATGAACAAGATAAGGTATTTTAATCTTAAATAGATATTGTATTATAATTAATGAATACTTGTATTATTTAAATTGTTACATTACTAATAGAATAGTTGTCAAAATCTAAAATTATCATAATTTAATTTAAATTCGATTAAATAGTATGCAGCAAAAACTATAAAGAAACCAGCCAAAGAAAAATGGGAACCATTTTCTGAAGGAGAAATTATTCATACACGTACATACGATTTATATATTACATATGATAAATATTATCAAACTCCTCGGTTATGGCTTTCAGGATATGATGAGGTTTGTATTTATTTTCCAACTTTATCTATTGTGCAAAAATTATGTGTTGAATATAATAAAATTTTATAATTTTAATATAATTTTTCAAAAGAATCGTAAGCCTTTGAAAGTAGAAGAAATGTATGAGGATGTTAGTCAGGATCATGCTAAAAAGACTGTTACAATGGAGGTACATCCTCATATTCCTGGACCATTAATGGCTTCAGTTCATCCTTGCAGGTAATTTTAAGTAAATTAATGTTTTTATTAGCATAAAAATTATCATGACTGAAATAAAATTATGCAGACATGCTGAAGTAATGAAGAAGATTATTGAAACTGTAATGGAAGGTGGTCGTGAACTTGGAGTACATATGTACCTTATAATATTTCTCAAATTTGTGCAATCTGTAATTCCTACAATCGAATATGATTATACACAAAATTTTATGCTAAACACATCTGGTTAATAGCTTTATAAATTTTCATTGTACCTTAAGAATAAACGTGATTTTAGTTTATAAGTATATATATAACAGAATTAAGAGATTTGTGAAGCATATAATATAATAAATAATTTCAATTCAGAAAACTACAAGCTTGTATGTATACAAGATATTTGAATATAAAATTTTAATTTTGTTGACTTTATGTATTACTTGCCAAAATTTGTATCATTTTATTTTGTTATTTTATTATTATTGTTATTATTGTTATTATAAAAGCAAAATAATTAATATTTTCTAACAAAGACTATAAACTATTTTAAATTATATATAAATTTATAAAATTATATATTAATAGTAAAAAGTAAAATATATAAAAAAATTTAATTTTTTACTGAACCATATTTGTATTTCATTAAGATCATTTTTTACCCATTAAATTTTACTTTCATTACACGAAATCTATCTGACAGAAAGATAGGTATCCAGTGATAGAAATGTTACATGTACAGAAATGCATAACATATTAGACCTGATGAATCTATAGAAAATCTGTATTTCTTCTCTGATTTCGAAGATTTTTTGAATATGTTGTAGAAACCAACTTTTTTAAACAACATATAACCAACGGTCGAGCCTACTTTCCGAAATATTCGCAGAAAACTATACAGTAAATTCTGTTTATAATTGTACGTTTAGAGCAGCGTATTTGTTAGCATTAGTTGTCGGCTATTTCAACATAATACATTTAAAAATCATCTAAATCTGTAAGATGAACATCTTGATCTTAATTTTTTTCGATATCATGCACTTAATACTTTTTTATTCAGAGTGACACGAGAATCGTACAAAAAAAAGGATCAGAGTTCCATTAAAAAATAATGCATTTTTCTGAAAAATCGCATTACAGGATGATAAAGCTTCTTAAATAATGCATTGTTACTAAATTCACATTCATTCACTTATGCATGTATATACAATGATGAAGTATCATTGATGAACTATCAACAATGAAGTATCACCAATTCAATTCGATAAATAAAAAATTTTTGGTGCGGCAACACTGTCTATATTTCTTTATTTCCTATCGTCGATAGCGTTGTAAGTGCTATACTTGCCTAAGTCGATGTGACAGGATGTGACACGAAATGATAACAGGATCAGAGTGACCCTCGAAATCTGGGATACAGAAAAGCAGTGGATGTCCAGTCTGTGCTAGTTAATCAATGCTGGCACCGTTCCATTAGTCGATGCTATTAGTTAATAATATTAAAAAAATATCCCAACTTCTGAGTCACCAAAAATCCTTCTCGCAAAATTTATTATTATTTTCATAAACTTTATTTATTGAAAAGGGACGTATTTTTAAAATTTCAGCTGATTCAAAACTTGGAGTTTTTTGAAAGTTTAGTTTTTAATTCTCCAATGATTCAATGATATTCGTATTTATTGTCTTGAGTAATAGAGAACACTGAATGGAGCAAAATATTCATTCTATCCATATAAATCGTTCACCAGTTGTATCACACTTTGCACATGTCTGTTTTCGTTGCAACAAATTAGATATTAAATATCCTTACATCCAAGTTCGTTGTTTTTGTTCAATTTTAAAGCAATACATACTTGTAGATTTTGTATTTAAATATCGCCTGCTGAGTCGAGGATTTGTAAGTAAAGATTTTAGAGGCAATTTTTACGTATTTTATTTTTACGCTTACTTGTACCAAGTTTAATATTATATTATATGTTATATTTAATATATTATTAATTCTATCATTTCTTTGATTGTCATATCTTTTATAGGTTAAGAGGAATTTGGTGATAGAAAACTTTGACTACTTTGTAATTTAGAAGAATATTTTAGAAAAAATGTCAACTTTGTACGATCAAATAAAGTTGCTTTACGAACAGTCTTTATATTCAAATGTTATTTCACTTGTAAGTAAATTTAATAAATGATTGAAAGCATGTTTTTTTCGAAATTAAATGAAATTATTAAATTAAATTACACTGTAAGAAATTTGTAAAAAATACAATTAATGTTAATATTATAATTTAATATAATTTATAATTTATGTCAATATCTCATAAAATAATAAATTAATATTAATAACTAATAAATTAATGTTTGTCTATGTTATAGGCAAATTTAGTGTTATCACTAAGTGAACATAATTCAGATTTATTGCCAATACATGGAAAATTCCATATCTACGTTTATTATGCAGATGCTCATTTTCACTTAGGAAAGTATAAAAGGGCAGAAGCATTGTATAAAAAGTCATTGCAATTTCGTAAATGCTTATTGAAATCTAAAGGTGCTACGAAACCTTTAGAAGGACAAAAGGATTTACCAACTGATGTTGATATAAAATTTCAAATTCATTTATGTTTAATAAAATTGAAAAATCCTCAAGAAGCACTTCAAGTATTGCAAAGCATTCCTGGCAAACAAAGAACTCCAAAGGTAATTTAAATGATATTGAGTTTTAATGTTATCAATGAGTATAGATAATTTTTTATCTTGAAGGTAAACATGGTCCTTGCAAAAATGTTTCAAGAACAAGGAATGGAACGTTCTGCGATTACTACTTATAAGGAAGTTTTAAGAGAATGTCCATTAGCCTTAGAAGCTGCAGAAGGTCTTCTTTCCCTTGGAGTAAAAGGAATTGAAGTGAATTCACTAATTGTAGGTTGTGCGTCCAATCTGTCAAACTTAGATTGGTTGAATACATGGATCAAAGCTCATGCACATATACATAATAGAGAATATATACCTGCAATATCAACGTTAAGATCATTAGATAATGTTAATCTATTAAGAGATAACTTTAATTTATTGACAACAATGGGAGAATGTTATTATTATGCTGGAGATGATAAAAATGCTTTATTATGCTTGCGAAGAGCTAGAATTATAGAACCAGATATCATAAAAGGGTAACAAGATCTACATAAGATATCCTGTCCATTATAATTATTTTAGAAAATTTTATAACTAATTAAATTTTATACTAATACTTATCATTTATACTAATCACATTTATCCAATTACGTTTATAATGTTAAAAATAAATAAATTTTCTTTTGTATTTTTGTTTATAAATAGGGTTGATATTTATGCAGCTGTATTATATAAAACACACAGTATTAAAGAACTTGAAAGACTGATTCCAATAATAACAGCAAGCAATGAGTGCAGTGGAGAAATATATGTTGCTATGGCATATTCTCTTTATGCTACTAGAAAACTTGGTAGAGCAAACTCATTTACAGCACTAGCCTTAAATTTAAATCCAAATGATATAGAAGCTACAATTCTCCGAGGGAACATTTTTGTAGAACAGAAAAAATACCAAGATGCATTGTTCTTCTTCAGGCATGCGGTACAATTGAAACCATATCGTTATGAACCACATAAGGGTTTGGTAGATTGTCTTGTAGGAATGCACAGATTACGGGAAGCTATCAATATCGCTAGTGGATCTTGTAAACAACTTGGACACACTACGAGAGTTCTCACGGTAATTATATCAAATCATGTCGATTTAATTTGTTAATACGTAACATTTGAAATTAGAAATAATATTTGGTTTGGTAATATATCGAATAACTAAATTTTGAAAATGTCAATTTTGTTTAGCTTTATGCGTCTGTACTTATGAAAGATCCAGTTTCTGTTGGAAAAGCAAAGAATCTTTTGGAAAAGGCATTACTTCAAGATGAAGTTTATCTACCTGCTGTATATTTGTTAGCCGAAATATATGAACAGGAAATGAATTTGGAAGCTGCAATTGCATTACTTGAAAGACAGGTAGAAATACAAACAGCTTGTAAATTACATCAGATGCTTGGGGATTTATGGGCAAGAGTTCACAATGAAGAGAAAGCTTTGGATCATTATGCAATTGCTATAAAGTAGGTTCTTTACATTTATTTATAATATATATAATGCAGGATGCTAGATTTAAATGCTAATAATGAAATATCTTTCGAGAGATTTAAATTCAAAATTATCAAAATGGTCCTACAAAAGTTGTTTGTTGTAAGAGACATTATACGACATAAGTATTTTATTTTGTCATCCAAGCAAGAAAGATTTCAAGATCAAGTTAATTTTTTTAAACGAAATTATATTTTTTTATTCATAATACTGCAGCAGTTATTGAGACGAATTTAACGATTTGTTATATCTTATCAGTTCGTGCATTAAAATCAGAAATATATTTATCATACTTAATTACATACAGATATATGAGAAGTAATTCTATTTGAAAATTTCTAGTATATATATTTGTAGTAAATACTAACATAATGTTCAAAATTAGTTTAGATCCAAATAATCGAAGAGCATTGGAAGGCATGCACAGATTAGATAACTCTTCGAATAAACTGGATTCATCTTATTACATGACTGTAGGTGAAGAACAAACAGATACAACCTATGATGTTGGTGATGGTTTACCAGACACTGATAATGATGAAGCACCTGACGAAAGTGAGACTGAAGCTGTATGGTCAGATATGGATCTTGAGGCAAATAGCCAATAACAAAAAAAAAAACTTATTGTAAAATTAGATGCGTTCAGTATAATTAAGTTAGAGCTGTAATTAGCTTACTATTACTATTAAATTTTCTTAATTTATTTCCTTGTAAATAAGTTCTTAATCTCTTACGTAATTTCTTGTTTTTAATTTCTTATTCATCAATTGTCTGAATGATTAAAAATATACAAAAATATTATTTTCGTTACAAGAATTTTATATACAAATTATTTCTATTCCTTTCCAATACAAGAATTTTATTACAATTATTCGAGAATTAGTATTAATGTTTTTATAACTTTTATTCATTTTGTATCGATATAAAATTTTATATCGAATATGTTATCAATGTTTTATATCAACTTATATTATAACAATATCATTTAATTCCGAGTAACGATAACATACATTTAATAAAAATTTGTTATCTCTTTATAAAATGATAAAGGATAAAAAATTTTAATAAATATTCTTTATATATTATAAACATACAATGTTTATAATATACAGAGATGTTAAAAATAATGTACAAATGTATAATTATGTTAAAATATATTATAGTAATATATTTTATTAATACATTTAATTGTTTGCAGCTACTATCTGTTTTATAATCAAAATAATTAATAGTAAATGAATAAAACCATGTAAATGAAAATGAATTATTGAAAAGATTAGGTTTAGATCATATTTTAAATAGTAATGAGAATTTAAATTCTTAAAATTTAAAAAATTGCTTCAAAGGCTATTATATAAAGAATGAAAATTATGTAAATTGTTGTGCTGCTATTTTGGAAATTATAAAAAGTTTATAACAGTCATATTCATATCAATGATTTTCATGTTAAGCGTAAAAATGAAAAAATATGGCTTACTTAATATATGTAAAAAATCATAAAAGAAACTAAAATTATGCAAAAATGGAATTAATTGAACATTAACAAATTGTCTTCGGAAAATAATATTAAAAGCAGCAAGTAGCAAATTATAATTTTAAATACATTTTCCTCAAAGTAGAATTTTCTAAAACTGTAAAATGTATATTGTAATTGCAAAGCAGTTTATTCGATTAATTTTAGATCGAGTACAAATATCTTTCGTAATATTTTGTAATGCATCGTTTTTTAAATTTTGTTATATTTATTTAATAAAAAAATAATCAACTGATTTAACGAAATTAAATTTTAAATTATGAATTTATTATTTTTAAATAAGACACAAAAATGGCTGCATGAAACGCGAATCATCGTCAATTTCATAAATCATTTTAGATGAGAAAAACAATATATAACAATGAAAATATATATGCATGTAAAGCAGTATTAATTTTTAATATTTATAAACATATGAATGCGACGATAAATGCAAATATTCATTTAATATTATTCGATATAAATTATTATTTACAAAGAAAGTTATTTTACAGTTTACAATTTAAATATTTCAAAAATGACCATGTTCATATTCTTTTAAATTTTAAGTCACTGAATATTTATTACATACTCTTTTGTAAAGACCTAGCAAATCATATTTCCTAAAAGCAACTATAAATATAAATAAAAATATTATTTTAAAATAAAGCATTAAATGTAATATTTAAATATTTCTGCTTAATTATCTTTCACAAATAATCAATTGCAAATTATTGAAAATAATCTTAAGGAAACATTAATCATGTTTGTTTTTATTACTTTTATATTTTTCTTATATTTTTATTTGATCTTTCGCATTTATTTGTCTAAAAAGTATTATTTAGTCTTGTACATTATTAATTCTCAGAAATATTGTGTACACAGAATAAAAGTACATACTATAAGTAGTTTATTTACACACTATACAGAATTGGAGATTCATAGAATCAATACTATTAATACGCGTATTAATCAATCGATGTACATCATATTATTTTTGTTGACTTATTCTGAAAAGGAGAATCACACAAAGGATATATTAGCGCGAAAGTCGCAATGAAGTGATGTATGCTTAATTATCATATAAAATTAGAATAGCCAATGTACACATATATGTATCTTCCCTAAGTAAAAGAGAATTCGATTCGATGTATTTAAAAAACGCAGAATTCAGTCTTAAAGATAGGAAGCACGCATATTTCCCTAAATAATTCACTTTGGTCTTAGAACTGCGTTCATATTACATGTATATACAGGGTATTCTGTAATATGTAGAAAATTTAAGGTCTCGTTTTTGAAAATTTATCGATTAATTATAGCTAATTAGCAAAAGATGCTGAATAAGATTTTTTCATTTAAAACTATTTTCAAGAATATACCTTGAATATTTCGCTACAAATTGTCTTGGTACACTTAATAAGTTTTTAAACTCAATTTTCTCCACAAACAAGAAGTATTTTACAAATCTACTATTGATAGATGATAGATATTTTATCTATTTTATATTTTTAACTTAGTTTTTCACGTAGAATAATTTTCTATTAATTATTTTCTTCTCTCACATCTAGAATCAACTAAATTCAAAACTTGATAAAGTTTCGAATTCGATTTTCTCGAAAACAAAAACCTAGGTGAAGAAATTTCTACATTTTCTACTTATTTTTTTTACAAGGAATTACTTCTTGCTCTATTTTCCACATACTATAAAACATCCTGTATATGTATGTATTTCATTGTTTCAACTTCATCTGACGATATGATAATATTAATAAGCATCTTAAAAAAAATAAAAGCATCGTTCGAGATGCAACTAATATACATTTGAACAATTTGCATGGTGTGAAAATAAATAGATATGACCAGACTATAGATACACGTCAATTGTAAAAGAATGATCTATAAATAAATTTAAATGAAACTGGTCGTAAGAATAAATTTGTCGCAGCAATGATGCATATTCTTCATTCAGAATGTTTTCAAATGCATCTTTTTATCCATTATTTTCTCGTGTAATCTGTTTATATTGTATTTCTTTAAAGGTTTTGATCTGTACATTCGATCTTTCTGATACAGTAGTGGTAGAAGAAGAGATAATGGAAGAAGATGAGGAAGACGAAGAAGATGAAGATGTAGAAGAAGAAGAAGAAGAAGACGAAGAAGATGATGAAGAAAAAGATGAAGAAGAAGACGAAGACGAAGACGAAGACGAAGACGAAGACGAAGACGAAGACGACGACGATGACGACGACGACGACGACGAAGAAGAAGAAGAAGAGGAAGAAAAAACGCGAAAGGGGGCCGGGAACCACCACGGGGAACAACCGTTGGTTCCGAGGGGGATGGCAGTGAACACGAGAGGGAGAGAAGAGGAAGAAACGGAGGCAGCTCTGCAGAGGTGTGGCTAGCCGAGTGTTGCAGAGTGGTTCTTCTGGTTTCTGGTTGGCTCCACGGCCGACGGGAGGCTTAACCAGCGAGAACCGGACCTGGGCTTCCCTTCTTTCGCCGGTTTTTGCCCGCGTCCGTGTCTCATGGCCAGTCGTAGGTGTCAGAATGCGCCTCGCTCGGCCTGGCCCGGTCGTGGCCGCGCCGAGAGAGGCGAGGGACGGCCGCGCGCCGGAATTACTCGGCTATTGAGATCGGCAGATAGCCCCGAAGAAATCATAGTGGCCACCCACGAGAGACCGG